ATACAGACCCTCTGCTCTACCTTTTTTTTAAAGAATCTCCCGCACCACCTTCCCCCCAGATTAGGCTCAACATTCAAATATGAACTGGTGGATCTCCAGTGTTTTGCAGTGTCAAAATCATGTAGTCTGTCTGGGCTTCTGTGCTATGTAGGGGGGCCTCTTGGCAGGCAACTGGGGAACCCAAGCCTCATGGGTAATCACCTGAGGTAGCACAGGTAGGTTCCAACTCAAAAGCTTGTCTGGATTGACACATTCCTGTAACACGTCTGCATTTTCCAACAAAAAAAAAAAGTTATTTTTGAAGAAGAAAACTCCTGTCTAGTTATAACTATCCAACCTAGATATAAATGAATACATAGTTATAGGAATTGCTACTAGAGAATCAAGTTGTAAGTGGCACTTGTGTTTGCATAATGTATATAGAGGTGTTTGCATAATAACTCCAAAATAAAGTCTTAGTCTTGTATGCTATGTCACACTTTTTGGGTTTTTTGGAAGAAGATTTATTCTGTGGAAATTAGAATCCTTTTTTCTGACCGTTGGGTAGTTTGTTTTTGAGACGTACTTTCAACATTCATTATTGCTAAAGAAGTTGGTTTGGTAACAACTAATGTGGATGAAAGATGCAGTGAGTGCTTGTTGGTTCTATAATTTATGTTCCAGTTTCAGTTTTGTATTCTCCCCCACACCCTCTTTTTAACCACTGATGTTGGTGTATGAGACTAAAGTTCTTCAGTGAACTGTAAGGCTATGCTCTAAGACTGTATTTTCTCACCTATATTTTGCACTTTTCACCCCAAACCAGCTGGGGAAAATGGAGGTGCACATCCTATGCATGGAAACAATCTCTTTGGGTCCAGAAATAAGGTGTGGGGAGGGAAGGGGCAGCAGAGGACAGTGTTCATTGTCACAGCTCTGGAAGCTGCAACAGTCAGTGCTGCCACTGCTCACTTCCCCTGAAACTTCCAGACCCCTGGAGAGGCCACTTCTCCAACCACAAGCAGGATTGAGCTGGCATGCACAGGGTTGGTACATGGCAGGACTCAGCATGCCTAATCCAACCCAGCATATAGGCCTGGACCTGATGTGTTAGGTGTGATCTCACATGCCATCTCCAGAGCTACCTGCTGGGTCTGACCCCATGCACTGCCTAGGACTCTGTTCTGGCTCTGTAGCTACCTGCTGGGTCTGACCCTGTGTGCTGCTGCTGGGGTTGTTTGCCAAAACTGAAACCATGTGCTGGCTCTGGAGCCATGTGCCTGGTCCTTCCTGGACATGGTGCACAGTCCTGGGCTTGACATAACTCTAGAGAAAGCACATGGAGTCAGCCTTAGCGCACAGCTCTGGAGCTGGAGCGTGGTTCTGGATTCCATGCTGGATCTGATCTAACATGTGGCTCCAAAGCCAGCGTACAGGGTCAAACTCTTCACGCAGCCCTGGACCAGCATATTTGACTGGTGCGGAGGCCTAACTGGTACACAGGGCTGGCACAAGACGTGGGAGCAGGCTTGGCTCCCTAGCTGCTGCTGGTTACCTACCTCAATAGATTTTTTCCCCCCTTCAGACTCCCTCCTAAAGAATGAATGTGTGTACTGCATACGGGGGTGTGCTATATGCAAAAATATGGTACTTTCCAAGTTATCTCAGAGCTGTACACAGAGAAATGAACGTGCAGGCAGCAAATGTGAGTTTACAGGATGTTCTTGAGACTTGCCTGTGTAAAAAGCACCCTCTGCCAACAGACAGATGCCACTACAGTAAAGCTTACACGTGAAGTCACTTGATTAGTTTCTGGTGACTGCGCAGTTCCTGCCAGTCATCGGCACCACTATAGCAGGTGCTTTGCCAGCACAGCTAGTACAGCCTAGAAGGGACTAATTGTTAAAAGAGCATGGCTAGGGATGGAAGCTGCACAAAAATCAGTTTAAGTAATCAGAAACTGGTTTAAGCCTGTAACAGAACAGAAGTTCAGTGCACTTAAACCACTTACAAAATGGCCAAAACCAGTTTAAGATGAACCTGGCTGGATGAAATATCAGAATTAACTGATTTAGATCAAACTGATTTATGGAACTTCTGTCCCAGACCCCTTCCTGATTCTAGTTACCTCACATTCCCCCAGCATCCCAGGGTGCTTTGCAGCCCTGGGCTGGGCTGTGCTGTGCTGTGCTATCTGCTCCAGAGACCAGGGTTGGCCCTGCCTCTGTGCTTCCTAGGCAGAGCAGTAGTACTACTCTGGTTAGCTTAGAAGAGGTAGGGATGGGAAATTCAGCTTCAGACAGCAGCAGGGTCTGCCTGCCAGGATGGAGCAGCCCACGCCAGGCTTTTTTCCCCCACTCAGCATCGGAGGGGACCCTGGGGCCAGGCAGACAGGGAGAGGGGGCTTTAAGCCCCCTCCTGCTGTCTAGGACTCCAGCCAGGGTCTGCCTGGCAGGGGCGCAGGAGCCCAGCCCAACACTGGCTAGGCTGGCAGGCTGAGGGAGGGGGGGAGGGGAGAGTTGGTTTAAACCCTGCCCTTCACCCCTTGCACCCCCGTAAGGGACCCCAACCAGAGACTGCCTGGGAGGGGCGAAGCGGCCTCTGCCTGGCTTTTCAGCTGCTCCACACTTGAGCGGAGAGGCATGGTTGTGGCCAGATGCTGGCCAGGCTGTCAAGCTGAGGTGGGGCCAGGTAGTCCCTGGCTGAGGTTGCTTGTGGAGGGGAGAAGGGGGGTTTAAACTCCCTCTTCCCCCACCCCACCTCAGCCTGCCAGCCTGGCTTCTTTGCCTTTGCCAGGTAGTCCCTGGCTGGGGTCCCTTGCGGGGGAGGGAGGGAGGGACAAGCAGTGGAGGAAGGGCTTAAACCTCTCTTACTGGTTCTGGCCTGGGGGGCAGCCCCTGCCATGCTTCTGCGTCTTTCTCCCCCCCCCCCACCATGGCTCCCCACTGAAGAGGGGGAGAGGGCTGCACTTACCAGTGTTTTTTTTCCCTCAAGCGGACAGTAGGGGGCATGGCCATGCCCCAGCTCAGCGCTGGCATGCTGAGAGAGGAAGTTTAACCTAC